CCCCCTTTTATTAAGATGACTACCACTCTCACCCTAAATGAACTTTGTTCTGTACTTGTGGAAGGGTGAGGGACAGTCTGCTCTCTGTGAGTCACAACATGCAATGTGTATACGACAAGCTGGAGAATTCAAGCATTTCAATTAGGTTTTTTCCGAACTGTCCTAAATCTATCCTAAGTTGGAAAAACACATTATTTCTTTTTTTAATGTGGAGCTGTCTGGCACTGTTGCCATGCTCCTCTATTGACTGACAAGCGACTAGCTGTCATGCTTTGGTGCTATTTCACATAGATGTGAATGGATGAAGGGAAAGTGAAGGACCTCTGTCAGTGCGATGATGGGCTTCAGATATGTTTTCCCCCCATCATTCATAGACTAAAGAAGTAGCATATGCACAAAAATATACGTGTTATTAAAATAACATAACCAGACAGTATTGTATTGTATAGTCACTGCGCCTATACATTTCAGCATGTGCACATTTGCTGGCATAACTGAACGGCGAACTGTGAGTTGTTGTTAATACATACCAGATATACATCTAAATGCTTTTCCATGAGATTTTTCTTTATATCCATATATGTTTATCAGTATGTGTCTATATATTTATTTTATCGTATTGGATCGTGAGTCCTATGTACTTTCAAAATATAACGACCCTATAGAACAATTAAGAAAAACTAAATAAGAAAACAATATGACATGAAGATACGAAAACCTGCCTCTCCGATAGTGAAGCCCACCAACAAAGAACAATGGTTATTCTAAAGTTATATTTAATGTTAGGTCGTAGCCATAAAACTAATTTATGTTGTCCTAAACGACTTTTAATTGGTCGTTGGAGGGAGAATTGTTACAAGATCCTGTCGAGTTTAATTGACACTTTAACACTATTAAGACACCAAAGTAATCCTGTTTAAAGAGAGATAATATTTACAGTTTCTCTGTGTGCCTGTGTGTATGTTAAACCTGCTTTTAAAAAAAGGTGGGGGGGGGGAGGGAGTAATTATTAGGTGGACCTGCCATAGCCGGTTTATTACATTCCATTGGCAAGAAAAATAAAAATGCAAATCGGACGAGGGATTTTAGGTAGTGTACTACAGCATAGTTTCACCTCCAAATGTCATGTATGACATTGTGCACTAGAGCAAAAAAAGAAAGAAAGAAAGAAAGAAAGAAAGAAAGAAAGAAAGAAAGAAAGAAAGAAAGAAAGAAAGAAAGAAAAGATGAAAGGGATATCCGGAGAGATAGCAGAGCAGTGTGTGGGATTTTTGTCCCCTGTAAGCTTTGCTCCATTCGTTTTATTTCAAAGGGGATTAATTTTATTGCAAACCAGCAATTTCTGGGATGTTTAAATCACCACCACGTGCTTCCCTTTACGTTCACGGTCATGGCCGGGCAGAACTGGCTAAAGCAGTCTTATTTACGATCTGTAAAGGATGGAGGCGATCTTGAGCAGGAAAAAAACCTGAATGGTACCTGCTTTTCATCAAGTTTTTTTTTTTTTCTAGCTGGCCCACACAGCTCCATTGCTGGCCTTAAAAATGTAGGCAGAAAGATACGGTATGGAAGCGGGATAATGGATGCCTCATTTGTAATGAACAAGCCACCTTCATTGCTAGCTCGGTGACTTGATGTGTTGCAATCCAATCACGAGGGATCCTATTTTTATTTTTTGTTACTGGAAGGCAAATTACTTCTGGGGATGCAATTAGATATGGATGACTATTGCTGAGGCTGCAGTGCAATATCTCACTCACAAGTCTTTTTCTTTCCAAGTGATCCAAGTGTCACTCACTGATCTTCAGTTAAAGGTGTCCACATATGAAGTGGGCACTCCTCACTTCCACTAGCCAGCAATTCTTATTTTATAAAAGGAGGAGAAATAGTATTTTCCATGTGCAATAGTGTCGTCAAGTGCTTTCGGAATCATTTCTAGCGCCCATCTATGTGAAAGGAAGGCAGCAGCAATGGAATCTACTGTGCTGTGTGCTGGGGTAGATGGCTGCACCTCTCTATAGTGTGCTGGCCTTCTTGTACCATGTGCATTCAATTTAGGATCTTATTAAAGGATAATGTTGACACGATTCCTACCTCACTCGATGCGGTAGGGACATAATGTTCCAGGCACGTTTGATCTTTATATAGCCACGTTCATTGTGCTTAATAATTAACAACAATGATGTACTTTATGTGATTTCAGACAATAAATACATTTATCAAATATATGGACTGCTTTCTGTTCTTCATCTGTCTCTTTTTTTAGCCTTTCCTCATGGCCGTCTGCCTCCACTTTCATTCAGCGCAGTATTGTGAATGGTCCCAGGGTTTCATTGACTTCTACTCAATTGTTCGGGAGAATGGATAGGAGCAAAGGTAGGAGCAAAATTCTACATGGTGCCCAGGTCCTAACAAAGAAGACTAGTGAGAGGCTTATTGTCCCTGTGGCACTGTACTTGGATTAAAGGACAGCGTCACAGCAGAGATCAGTACCTAATGAATTATTATTATGATAATTAATAATAAAAGTAAAATAAAAATATTGGTGCCTAGGTCCTCCTAACCATAAGCATTGTGCTCAGGTCCTATACCAAAGGAGTATTTGTATCATTGACTTTGTATTAGTACATTATAAATCATCGTACATAAAATATACAAAAATGACTACTGCTAAGATCAGACCAATCATCCAATAATGTGCAGATGGAATTAGCCTATATACACACACATACACATGTTTCACCACATATACATGCCTACCTAAGTATCCAGGTGAACATGCATACAATATATGTCCTCAGACACAGATTTTGCCATTGTGTTTGGCTCTGAACTCAGAGCATGCGTATGCACCTGTGTACATGGTTCCATACAGAGGACCATAATACATTACTGATCACATTCCCCTGTTTTTCCTGTCCAACAAGAAAATCCTGGGTAATGATCAGTATGCCTACGTTTGCACATGTAAACACCATTCCAACAATATACAATACCTGCTCAGATCAAAACACTTTCCATTGTGTTTTTTTTTCTGCCTCACTCTGACCACATCACTGGCGTTCTGGAGGACTTAGCACACATTAGTAAAGCGAGTTTGCAACCTGGAAATTGCGGAAGATCTTGTCTGACCGTAAATGCAAGAGCCTGGCACAATGCTGAGCAAGAGATGAGCGCTTAGAGACTATCTGAGAATCACACTTGTCATTTTATGAAGCTTTTAAGAAAGGTGACTCATGCCCTGTGCCTCCTAGTCAGAAGGTCGCAATAAGAATGAGATCACCTCCATCTGAAGTGCCTGAGAGGCTTCACCTTTCTTCATCACTGTCTGTGCCCACTCATACCAGCCTTGCATAACTGGGCGCTGACTCCAGTGTGAGGTCAATCAATAAAGAATATTTCCACATGTGCAGGTGATAGAACTCGATTTACACAATGATATCTGAAGTGTAAACAATGTGTATCTGATGGTCATAATTCTGGCAACACTCTGATGAGACATTTGTCGCAGCAGGGGTCTAAGAGGCGCTGTAGCCCCCCCTAGCAGCCATGTACAAGTACTCTCAGCACTGCTCATTATTGCAGTATAATATACACGGCCTGTCTGTAATTTTGCTCGATGTAAACAAGCAGACATTTTATGAATGATTCATTAATTCTCTGATTTAATTGAAAACTCAGTTATGGGTGATACAGTAAATTATTAATTAGCATTGTCGCAGCAAATAATGGGAATTAGTATAGAGAAAAAACATACTTAGCATGTGATATCTAGTTGTGAGATGGAAACCTAATAAAGTGATGCCTTGCTTTAGATCTTTCACTGAGTCTTTAGATTGCAGTATTTACTATGAGCCTGGCTCTGGTGTTTAAATTCTCCTTTCTCTCCTCGCCTTGCTCAGAAATGAGTGGCTGATAGATATTTGCCAAGCAACAGGCGCCCCCAGCTGCTTTAGCTTAAAAATACTAGCTGTGCAGAATATTCAGAGCTGGGCTGCCTCGCCAGATTCTGCTCAATGCGACACTTCCAGAGAACAGGAAAACGTTTATTTTTATTTTATTTCAATTAATATCTGATCCACATTGTTGTCTTAGCTCGTTTGTAGCACTTATATATGTATTGGAAAACAGTAGTGACATTTAATTACATTTTACACAACACACATATTATCATGAGATCGTAAAAAAAAAGGAAACTAAGAATAATAAATCCGCAATTGTCATTGTCTTGTATTGGAAAGATAAACCCATGTTATTACCACAATTATGTGGCATTAACCTCAACTCTCCCGGTGTAAATACAGCGAAAGTTTTAATTTTAAAAGTAAAAATATTGGGGCAAGTAGAGAAGCCAGTCTGGTCTAACTGGTGAAATATTTCCAAGGTATTAATTGCGACTGTAGAGCAAAGGCTTGATACATAAGATCAATTTGATTAAATTGTCACCAGTTTAAACTATTTGAAATATTTCTGATCAGGGTTGAGCCGTTATGATCGTGAGTCTAATCATTGTGTTTCCCTTTTTTCCCCCTTCTTTTTATTATCATGGCTGAAAGTCTCTCTCTCTCTCTCTCTCCCCCCCCCTGTAAATAATGTAAATAATAATA